AAACATTGAGCACTTATTATATACTAGGCTCGGTGTCAGGGATTCAGGCTGGAGAAAACCACAGTCCCTGTTCTTTTCCATGCTCTTTCCCCATATTGCCCTAAGGTAGGTCCACCTTGACTTACCGTTGCCCTAGAGCAAGGGTGGGCAAACTAGAGCAAGGGTGGGCAAACTTTTTGACTCGAGGGCCACAATGGGCTCTTAAACTGGACCGGAGGGCTGGAACAAAAGCATGGATGGAGTGTTTGTGTGCACTAATATAAATTCAAAGTAAACATCATTACATAAAAGGGTATGGTCTTTTGGCCCACTGGCCGTAGTTTGCCCACGGCTGCCCTAGACCCACCTTTCCAACAATGCTTTGCTACCCATGTGCCATGGTAAATGAACTCCCTCTGTTCCGGCTCTCTTTACAGAATGCACTTTTACCTTTTGGCTGACGCTTGCTTGAATATTTCCTTTTTTCTCGTACCTCCAAGGGAGGTTTTTTTTTTTTTTCCAGCCCTGACATGTGTGTTAGTTTCCTATTGCTGCCCTAACAAATTGCCACAAATTTAGTGGCTTGAAACAACACAAATGCATTACATTACAGCTCTTAGCATAGAAGTCCGACGTGGGTCTCACTGGGCTGCAATCCAGGTATCAGGCTGCGTTCCCTTCTGGAGGCTCCTGGGGAGACTCTGTTCCTTTGTCCTTTCCAGCTTCTGGATGCCACCGGTATTCTGTGACTGGTGACCTCTTCCTCCATCGTTAAAGCCAGGACCTGTAGTCACCTGACTGCCTCTCATGCCTCCCTCCACTTTTAAAGCCCCCCCCTTGCGCTTGCATTGGGCCCACCTGGGTAGCCCAGGATCATCTCCTATCTAAGGTCAGTTGATGAGCAGCCTTAGTTCCATTTGTAGCCTTAATCCCCCTTTACCTGATAAATTAACATTCATTCACAGGTTCCCAAGATTAGGATGTGGACATTTGGGGCGGGGGGGAGGCAGGTGGTCAGGAGGGCTATTCTGGCTACCACACCATGTTCGAAACTGACATGTTTTCATCCCTCTTCCTTCCCTTATTTGTTTGCTCAGTGAATAGCATGGCATCCTGATATTCTGCTTGATCACCTCAGCCAAACATTTGGAAACATCTTCAGTTCTCCCATTTAATCCATTGCCAAGTTCTGTGTAGCTCCCTCCTCCACTCCTAGAGGCCTAGTCTCCCTTGCAGATGCTTGAAGGGCCCCTCCTTCAGGTGATGGGAACGTTGAGCAGGCACACACACAACTTACACAAACACAGCTGTTGTGGTGCTTTATTTGTATTGTTTGTGTTACATATTGGAGTTTAAGCAATACTTCATGGGCGGAGGGAAGGTGGAAGAGATCCTGGAATTAAAAAAAAAAAAGTTTGCAGTCATTGGTCTAGAGCAGTGGTTCTCAACCTGTAGGTCTCGACCACTTTGGGGATCGAACAACCCTTTCACAGGGGTCGCCTAAGACCATCGGAAAACACATATATAATTACCTATTGTTTTTGTGATGAATCACTATGCTTTCGTTATGTTCAATTTGTAACCATGAAATTGGGGGTCACCACAACATGAGGAACTGTATTAAAGGGTCGCGGTATTAGGAAGGTTGAGAACCACTGCTCTAGAGCTACACTGTCCAATACAGTAGCCATGAACCCCGTGTGGCTATTTAATCAATTAAAATTAAATAAAATTTCAAATTCAGTTCTGCAGACATGAACCACATTTCAAATGCTCCTTAGTCTCCAGTGGCTACTAGATCGCACAGCGCAGGTACAGAACATTTCCATTCTCGCAGAAAGTTCCATATACAGGACAGCACAGAGTTCTAGAGAGTGTCTCCCTTTTGCCCACTACCTAGGCATAGTAAGCCCGCAACATTAAATGATTGTAGATATTCCCTTCCTGAGAATATGTGGTTGTATGGTTTCTTTTCCTTCCACTTCACCCACTGTTCAGTTTTTCCTTGTCATAATTGAATAGTTACTTCCCTTCTCCAGCTGTTTGTGAAATCAAATTCTTGGCAGCTCAAGTCCTGCCCAGCTGTGTAGTTTGTGATACAACCTTTATGCGGTATTTCCTTTTTGTTTATCCTCACTCGGTACTTAGCACCATGCTTCTCTCCCACTCATGGATTTCCATACAGGAGAGAAGTATTTTGCGGGTGGTTATCTTCCTTTATACATTAATTGTCTTCTGCTGCTGCTTAAATGTGCATTGGGGGAGGTGTCTGCCTTATCTGTTCTCTCTGCTGCTTAAATGTTTGTGAAGAAAGTAAGCCCTTCCCTTGGCAAACTCCAGCTAGGAAACCTCTTCCAGCAAAAATGAATGATGTCATTGCTGACTTGGTTAACATTTCAAGCTCCCATCCCTCTTCCCCTCACTGTCTCTTGAGAATTCTGGCCAATTCTCCTATTTTGCACAGCTTTTGTATCATTCCGGCTTGTCTTGGTTATGCAGTTTTACTATTTGGGCCCTTTTCTCATTTTCCCCTAAAACAGGGACCATTTTTTTCTGTAAAGCACCAGGTGATCCCTGTCACAACTGCTCACCTCTGCCACTGTAGGCAAAAGCAGCCTTTGACTATAGTAAGACAGATAAGGCCTGTAGGCTGTAGTGTAACAACCCCTGCCCCAAATAATATTTTAAATCCTACTTACTTCACCATGCCAAGAGAGACTCCTGCCTGCCTTTTTTTCCAGACCTGGCCTTCCAATTCCAGGGTTACATGCGCCAGCTCTATCCTGATTTCCTTTACAAAGTATTGCGTTCATTACAAAATATATTTCGGACTTCTTTGGCTTTTGTTGCATGTTCTGAGTGAAGCAGCAGGAGTCCCTGTGAGGCCTGCTGCATCTTGGGCCCTGGCACACCTCGGTTGTACTTTCCCCGGGACTGTACGCTCCCAGCTAACCATGTTTGGTTTTCAGTCTTGAGTACTAAAAAATGCATTTTCTTTTCATTTAATTAGGAACCATATATTGGCGACAATGTCTGGAAGCTTCTACTTCGTGATTGTTGGCCACCATGACAATCCAGTTTTTGAAATGGAGTTTCTGCCACCTGGAAAAGCAGAATCCAAAGTGCGTATGGAACCTTAACAAACCCCATGAGAACTGTCATGCTGTTGTAATGATAATGGTGTAATGTGCTTTCGAACTGGAGATCTGGACAGATGAGATAATAATTAAGCGAGGTTTGCTCTCGAGTCCCATGGGCTGGTAGAAGCCAGTCAGGGAAGGTTCAATGAATTGCTTCATCCTTTATCGGCACACACTTAGCATGTACTGGGAGGAAGCTCTGGGCCTCTTTTCCTGGTCTTCAGTCCACTGTGCCACCCAACTAGGAAAAGCTACTCCTTAAGTGCATAGAAACATGGCCCACCCATAGTGGGTCTGAAAGAACAGTCGTTGCTGCCTTGAAATGCCATGAAAGCCCATTCTGCCCCAGCAAGTCACATTTTTCATCAGCACATACATAGTAGATCCATTTACACCTGGGAGGATTAAAAGGGACCCTTACTTACATGTCTTCCTGCTGCCCAAGACGATGGCAGTTCCCAGTGACCTACCTTATCTACTGGCTGGTGCCCATATGCTCTCCTCCCCAGTGACACACCCAGCTTCCTTATCAAGAATGGCTGTAGAAAAACACACTGAGTTGGCGAACGTCTCCATTCAGAATAAACAGAGCCATAGAGCCTTGAGATGAGAATAGCTGGGTCCCTTCCATCTTTCTGTACCAGTCCACGTTCCTAATTGCCTATAAGTTGTGCTGTGTCTCCCGACCTCCAAAAATAAGCTTTAATGTTCTTTACGACAGGAGTTGATTTTTCAAATACATTGTAATGCATAATGTCCAGTCTAGTGTAGGATGCTTGTCAACTATTCAGATCTTGCCAGTAAAATATGATAGAAATGTAATTATCCTACCAGGTGTTGGTGCTACATTATTTTCCCACATCCCTATGAGCACACAGCTCATTAAAACTTTGGCTTGAGGCATCTCTGTAGCAGTGATTGCTTTGTGTTACACCACTACTCCATTACAGTTCCTGTGCACTCTGGGGCCTAGTGGTGCATAAAGCAATGCATATAAAAGTATTTCATCACAAGATGCTACTACCACTTACCTTCTGAAAGCATTTCTATAGTTTTCTCCTAATCTCTCAAGATTGATCATCCCTGTAAAGTAATGAAAAATGCTGCTATAAGCCAGACACGAAATACATCCCTTCTCTAAGGATTAAATTAGCTGCATCTTGGCAACGGGCGTGAAGTAAACATGCTTTAGCTGTGCGAGGGATTCCAGGGTAACTGGCAGCCTTCCTCCAGCCCAGTTGTGGGAACAGCCTCCTCAGCAAAGGGTCTGTACAGTTTCCCAGGGCTGCCGTCACAGAGCACAAAACCTGGGTGGCTTAGCACAATGGGAATGTTCTGTCTCAGTTCTGGAGGTCAGAAGGCCCAGCTCAAGGGCGGGGAGGGCCATGCCCCCTCGGCAGGGAAGGTGCTCGCACAGGATCTGTTCCGGCCTCTCTCCTAGTTCCTGGCAGTTCCTTGCCTGGTGGCAGCACAACTCCAGTCTCCACATGGCGTTCTCCCTGGGTGTGTCTGTGTCCAAGGGTCCCCTTTTTTATAAATACATCATTCAAATTATAAATACATCAGTCACACTGGAGCCCACTCTTCTCTGGCATGAACTCATGCTAACTACAGTGGGGCCTTGACTTACGAGTGTCCCGACTAATGAGTTTTTCGAGATACGAGCCTCTCTTGGCCAATTTTTTGCATTGAGTTGATAGAGTAATTTGAGTTAACGAGCTCCTTAACAAGCTCGGTCTCGGAATGAATTAAACTCGTAAGTCAAGGCCCCACTGTAGTTACATCTGCAACAACCCTCTTTCCAAATAAGGCTGCATTCTAAGGTACTAGGGGTGGGGACTGCAACACAGGAATGGGTGGGGGTACAATTCAACCCATAACAGAGGTGTTCTCTGAAAATGCATATGGAAAGTAAGAATTCCACAGGAGTAAGACCATTTCAGGTTGTGAACTCCCCCTCCACAATATGGTGGGACATTCCCACCTTCTCCAGTTCAGCTCTGTCGGCCCATGAAAAGGACACTCCCAGCTCTGACAGGACTGTCTCCTGCTATCACACAGGGGACTGAGTGTTCACAAGGGTTAAGCATGGCCTCCTGCCACTCCCAGGCCCCCCTGCCTTGTAAACTCCTTACACCTGAAAGAGTCATGCCACCATGTTAGGAGTGCTACCTCCTCGCCTGTCTTCACTGCTCACCAGATGTCACTACACAGGAAGCCTCCCTCTCACCCCACCTTGAGGCCTGTGCCAATGTCACCTCTCTGTCCTTAGCCCCAGCTTACCTATGTTGCTGTCCTTTATCCACAACCTTTTAGGTATTTTTTCCTGTCTTCCTCTAAAACAGTGGTTCTCAACCTTCTGGCCCTTTAAATACAGTTCCTCATGTTGTGACACAACCATAAAATGATTTTCGTTGCACCCTGACCGGTTTGGCTCAGTGGATAGAGCATCGGACTGCGGACTCAAGGGTCCCGGGTTCGATTCCGGTCAGGGGGATGGACCTT